TATTATAAACCCCAATCTTTCATCCTTTTCATGTTAATAACCAACAACATAAACCACAATCTTTCATCCTTTTCATGTTAATAACCAATATTATAAACCCCAATCTTTCATCCTTTTCATGTTAATAACCAACATCATAAACCCCAATTTTTCATCCTTTTTATGTTAATAACCAACATTATAAACCCCAAGTTTCACATCCTTTTCATGTTAATAATTGACATCATAAACTCCAGATTTCACACCCTTTTCATGTTAATAACCAACCCCAATTTTTCATCCTTTTTATGTTCATAACCAACATTATAAACCCCAAGTTTCACATCCTTTTCATGTTATTAGTTGATATCATAAAATCCTGGTTTCACATCCTTTTCATGTTAATAATCAACATTATAAACCCCAATTTTTCATCCTTTTCATATTAATAACCAACATTATAAACCCCAATCTTTCATCCTTTTCATGTTAATAACCAACAATTGGGGTTTATAATGTTGGTTATTAACATAAAAAGGATGAAAAATTGGGGTTTATAATATTGGTTATTAACATGAAAAGGATGAAAGATTGTGGTTTATGGTGAAACTTGGGGTTTATAATGTCAGCTATTAACATGAAAAGGATGAATAATTGTGGTTTATAATGTTGGTTATGAACATAAAAAGGATGAAAAATTGGGGTTTATGATGCTGGTTATTAACATGAAAAGGATGAAAGAAGACACCTGATGACTGTAAGTCCTATAGATGTTAGTAGTACTTTATTGTACTACCTCCACTTACTGGGATATTACTATTATATTGACCATAGGAATTTTATGAATGTATCACTCTTATGATGCTTTGATAAAGAAAATTTTATTGCTTAACCTTTAAACAATATTCAATAAATGAAAAAAAAAAAAAAGAAAATCTATAACCCAATTGCATTTCAAAAGGTAGATCTTTCTTCATCAGAGGCAAATTGGGCATGACTAAGATATGTAAAGTGTGAGTAATGGTGAGTTAATGTTATGGATACTCAAGGTTGATTACTATTACAGCATGGAAGTGTTTTGATTAGCTTTCACAGGAATGTTGTAGGTGTGACTAATTCCAGTTGTGCAATAGACAGAAAACAAGAGTGTTAGATGGTAAGAAGTTAGAAAGGTTTGGTTTAAAAAATTTTAATATGTGTTATGTTTAAAGTATGTATGGAACTGGTTGTGTCATGTACATTTTTCACCTCATGGATTTTCTTATTTATAGTAAAACCCTCAATTGATCGCTCCAACCTGATCAGTGCAAATATTAAGGTTGGGAAATCCCATAAGTTTGAAGTATACATCAAAGGTGAACCTCCTCCTGAAATTGTTTGGACCTTCGGTGAAGCTGGGGTAAAAATTCACAATGATGAACACGTAAAGATAGAGAACAAGGACTATCATTCTGAGTTTACCTTGACTAAAGCAACAAGAAGTCACAGTGGGAAGTACACGATCCTGGCCACTAACTCTTTAGGCAAAGACACGGCTTCAGTGGACGTGACAGTATTGGGTAAGATTGTACCTTTGAAATACTTCTAATGACCTGCTCAGTTATCTGTCGTTTTTCCTTACTGTTATAGAAATAACAGTGAATAATGAAGCAGAATGTTTAACTGGATTCAATTACTAACTTTTGAAACCTCATGTTATGTTTACATAAATAATATGTCTTTCTAATTTTTGAATTAAACTATTTTTCGAAAGTATTAAGTTTAGATAAGTTAGATAGTTTATTGGTTTTGTATTGGTTTAGCAAGATGCAGATATTTTTTTGTATGTTAAATGACTAGGAAAACCATCCAGACCAGAAGGCCCTCTAGATGTTAGTGATGTACATAGAGAAGGATGTAAGATCAAGTGGAATAAGCCTAAAGATGATGGTGGTAGCCCTATAAAACTATATGAAATTGAAAAACTTGACAAGGAAACAGGAAGATGGACTCGGTGTGGGAAGAGTGATAAACTAGAATTTGAAATCAGTGGCTTGACTTCAGAAAAAGAGTATGTGTTCCGTGTGGCAGCTGTCAATGATGAAGGGGAATCAGAATACCTTGAAACCCTTCAGCCAATTGTTGCCAAGAATCCCTATGGTAAGAGCAAGTCTCAGATTATTGTTTAGTTAAAGTGACATGTTTAAAATATTGAAATGTTAGTGGGTTATTGTAATAGTATATTGACTAAGAAGGTGAAATAAATTGTGAAAGTACTGTAAGGATGTGGAAATTCAGGGTCACAATGTAGATCATTTACATGAAAACGATGTGAAAACTTGTGTTCATGATGTAAGTTATGAACATGAAAAGGATGAAATATTGGGATTTATAATGTTGGTTATTAACATGAAAAGGATGTGAAAGCTGGAGTTTATGATATCAACTAATAACATGAAAAGGATGAAAAATTGGGGTTTATATTGTTGGTTATTAACATGAAAAGGATGAAAGATTGGGTTTATAACGTTGTTATTAATATGAAAAGGATGAAAATTGGGGTTTATGATGTCAACTATTAACATGAAAAGGATCATCAGGTGGTGATAGATGTACATCTACTTATCATTACTGCTAACATCAATAGGACTTATAGTATTGGTGTTTCATCAGGTGGTGATAGATGTACATCTACTTATCATTACTGCTAACATCAATAGGACTTACAGTATCGGTATTTCATCAAGTGGTGATAGATGTACATCTACTTACCACTACTGCTGACATCAATAGGACTTACAGTATCTGTGTTTCATTGTGTTGTGGTAGATGTACATCTACTTATAATTAATGCTAACATCTATAAGACTTACAGTATTGGTGTTTCATCAGGTGGTGATAGATGTACATCTACTTATCATTACTTCTAACATCTATCAGACTTATAGTATTGGTGTTTCATCAGGTGGTGATAGAGGTACGTCTACTTACCACTACTGCTAACATGTATAGCTCTTACATTATTGGTGTTTCATTGTGTTGTGGTAGATGTTCATCTACTTATCATTACTTCTAACATCTATCAGACTTACAGTATTCGTGTTTCATCATGTGATGGTAGACGTACATCTACTTATCATTACTTCTAACATCTATAAGACTTACAGTATTGGTATTTCCTTGAATGGTGGTAGATGTCAATCTTCTTATCATTACTGTTAACATCTATAAGTCTTACAGTATCAGTTTTTCACCATGTGGTGGGAGACATACATCTACTTATCATTACTGCTGACATCATTATTACTTACAGTATCGGTGTTTCACTGTGTGGTTCTTTGTGGGATCACTAGGTTCACTAGTCCCAGCAATGTTGACTGCTCGCACACGGAACTGGTACACCATGTTTTCCTTCAAGTCCAGTACTTGAGCTTCTGGTTTTTCAGTTTCAGTCTTTATGACTTCACACCATTCTGTGCTCAACTTGTCCTTGATTTCAATGATGTAATGGGTGACTGGCTTGCCTCCATCACTATTGGGTGGTGACCACTTTAACTCTACACGAGAGTTGTCCCAGTCCACAATGTCAGGCACTGATGGCTTATTTGGTTCATCTGTTGGAGTCATCAACAAATATTTTATTGAATTATTTATGAAATTAATTCTTCAAATTAAATCCATAATTTTACCATTACTTTATCCCACCAATTCTTTACACTAATTCATCACTTTACCATTACTCTATCCCACCAATTCTTTAAACTAATTCATCACTTTACCATTACTTTATCACACCAATTCTTTACACTAATTCATAGTTTACCATTACTCTATCCCACCAATTCTTTACACTAATTCATCACTTTACCATTACTTTATCACACCAATTCTTTAAACTAATTCATCACTTTACCATTATTTTATCACACCAATTCTTTACACTAATTCATCACTTTACCATTACTCTATCCCACCAATTCTTTACACTAACTCATCACTTTACCATTACTTTATCACACCAATTCTTTACACTAATTCATTACTTTACCATTATTTTATCACACCAATTCTTTACACAAATTCATTACTTTACCATTATTTTATCCCATCAATTCTTTACATTGATTCATCACTTTACCATTACGTTATCCCACCAATTCTTTATACTAATTCATTACTTTACCATTATTTTATCCCATCAATTCTTTACATT